GTCTCATCTTTCCCTGCCAATCACCTCCACCTGCCTGCACTAACACAGTTTAAGAAATATCCTGGCCTCAAGTAGTGTTCTGGCCGACACTCCAGGTTGAGAGCAGTGATGACCACAACTAGCCCCTCAGTTCTCCCCCACAGAAACAATAGTTTGGATGGACACAGTGGGATGTGTGAGCGAGGTGGCTGTCCTGAGCAGAGCAATGACACTGTTGACACAAGTGTCTTTCGTAATTATCTCAGCTGTTAAAAAATACAACTTAAGCAGTCGGTCCAGGTTTGAATCAACTGAGAGTTGCGAAAGAAAGAAAGAAAGAAAGAAAGAAAGAAAGAAAGAAAGAAAGAAAGGAAGAAAGGAAGGAAGGAAGGAAGGAAGGAAGGAAGGAAGGAAGGAAGGAAGAAAGAAAGAAAGGAAGGAAGGAGAAAACGAACAGGTCTCATATTGTTCACCTTTTCAGTAAACGATTGAAAGTCTCACATGCCTCCACATTGTGTCTTTCAGTTTATCAGCTCAAGATCAAGACACTGCAAAGACGCTTCCTTTCACCATGACTGTATGACTCTTTTTGCTCTGAAAACCAATGAGCTGCTGTTTCCTTCCCCTTCAGGAAGAACACCTTCTATGCCTCAGTCACAGTTTGAGCTGGTTTACTACTGGTTAGTGAATTCTTACTGGCTTGTGGACGGGGCTTGATAAATGGCAGATGTAATTGCTTTCATACCTTAACAGCTTTTGTTTTATGACTCCAAGTTTATGACAACAACAAAACGCAATAAAAATGGATTTTCACCATATGGGACATTCAAGGGAAACCTAATCTGCAACACTGAATGACTGATTCTATTTTTTTTCCACTCATATTTTAATGATGTACACTGGGATATTTCTTTAATCCTTTCTTGTTTTAGGTGAACCTTGAATGTTGTCTGAAACCCATTTTCAGATTTGTGAAACCTTTCTCTTTTTGTGAAAGATTATATAGTAGGAGTTTACAGCTGAACCGAGTCTCATGCAAAAAACCCCAAAACAAAACAAAAAATGTGAAATCTCTTTTTTTTTGTATTTTCACAGAGTAAAGCTTTCACAAATCAGAGACAATCTATTAATGAGCTTACACTCTCTAGTGTAACCTATTCCGCATTTGACAGATCCATATAAAGTGGACTTAGAACAGGACCAGGGGCCTGTACTACAAAGCAGGATTTAGGGCTAGCAAGATAGCTTCAGGTTAAATCCTGGGTTTTCGGTCCTACGAAGACGATTCTCTTCTTACCGGGGTACATCACCATGGTAACTTATGCTGAACGGCTAACCTGCTCTGCAGCAGGTTATGTTGGAGATTGAGATCACTGGGTATAAAAACACCACCCACCGAAAGTCAGTTCTCTACCATAAAACTTCAGAAGGAGCAGAAAACGAAGCAGTTCTCAACAAAATGGCATCACCGGCATTTATTGAAGACCCGCTACACATCGGAGCGTGAACTGTGAGGGATCACTGAGGAGTGTGAGGGTTTTTCGGGACTGGAAAAACAGCGCACCCTGACGAGGATCTCTATGAGCTCCTGTCTTCATTCATTCATTTTTTCCCCCTGTTGGCTACAGACA